CCTGCTTGAGGATGCCGGAAAAGCAAGACTCCTGAGTTCTTGTCCTGCAGCCCTAACCAATCAGTGCCTGCTTATATGGTGATTTATTAAAGTCTTTGGAACCCATAAGTGTTGTCTCTCTCCTTCCTCTTCACACACAACAGATTGGGTGTAACACTTTGATTTACTCAATGTCCTTACTGTGTGTACATGTGTAGGCATGCACGCATGTTTATGGTGCTGGACACTAATTCAGGATCTTGTTCTTGCTAGGAAGGTCATCTACTACTGAGCTATATCTTCACACCCTTTTTAAAATTTTTATTTTTGTTAGTTGAATCAAGAGGGTATTAAGTGCTAGGTAATTATGGAAGAAGCCTATGCCTTAGTGTATTTCCTATTATTAATAACATAATACTGTAAGCTGAGTAAGTATTAAAGAAAGAAAGCTTATTTTGGCTCATGGTTCTGCATATCTTATCTGCTCTCAGGTCCTCACATTCTCTTCAACTCTTGGCCTCCCACACCCTTCCTCTTTCCTGGCATTAGAGTACTTGGACTGTACAGTTTCCCAGGATGGTCTCAAGTTTATGGTCTCAAGAGATCCTCATGCCTCAGATACAAGCAGCTGTGGCTTCAGTACCTAGCATATTGTAAAAATTTGAGCATTCAGTACAAGATTTTTGTTTTCTGAAACAGGGTCTCATATAGTCCAGACTGGACTTAAAGTCAGGGTGTAGCCAAGGATAAATTTGAATGCTGGATTCTTCTCTTCTATCCCCCAAGCCCTAGGATTACAGGCATACACCACTACACCTGGTTCCTTAAAGGTTTTGTTGTTTGTGTTTGATTCTTACAATATTAAGAATTGTGTCCAGGGCGTCATACATGTTAGACAGATGCTCTAACACTGGACTACATCCCAAGCAATACATTGATGTTTAAAATCTAATAATGTCTTCCAATCCTGTTTATCCTAAGGCATGAGTTGCTGTAAATACTGCCACTTAATTAGGTTTTTTAACTTTGATGGCTAAAAAGACCAATATAGAACTTAGAAGATTAAAGTAAGGGAGAGTGTTGTATAGTTATTTCATCTGGATGGAAAACATTGCCTCCTGGAGGGAAGGGGGGACTAGCCTCACAAAACTCATAAGCAAATTTTAGAACTTGGGGCCTGGAGAGATAGCTCATCAAGTTGAAGCTCTTGCTGTGCAACCATGAGGTCCAGAGTTCAGATCCTGGCACTCACATAACAAGAAAGGCTTCTTGGGTAAGCCTGTAATTCCAGCTCTGAGTAGGGAGGTTGCTGGGACTCACTGGCTTCCATCCCAGCTAAGAAAATACAAGCCTCTGATTTAGGAAGAAAACTTTCCCCAAAATAAATAGATGGAGAGTGATAGAAGTGGATATTCAGTGCCCTCTTCTGGCCTCTGTACATGCATTTGCATACACATGTGTACAGAATTACACAGACACAGGCATACACAAATAGATGAATACATCTTTTAAAAATTGCAAAAATAAGCCGGGTGTTGGTGGCACACGCCTTTAATCCCAGCACTCGGGAGGCAGAGGATGTGGATCTCTGTGAGTCTGAAACTAGCCTGGACTACACAGCAAGTTCCAGGAACCAGGAACATTACACACAGAAACCCTGGCTCGAACCGCCCCCCAAAGAAAAAATTGGTAAGAAAGTTATGAAACTCACAGGATCCATCTCTGAGGTTAGATGAGTTAAACAGCTGCAGGGGTAGAGGAGACTGCTAAGCTGCCTGAAAGCAGCTTTTGCAAGTTGTCACCCAAGCTGAAGGAGTTGTTTTGGTGATGCAGCTGCCTTTCAGTCACTCATTATCTTGTAAGTAAACCCTCATCCAAGTTTGTAGAAATAACCCCAGTAAACTAATGGGTTCACTAAGATAGACTTGAATGGAATTGATCTTTCATTAGTGTCCTTACTGAAATGAATAGGCGTTTCTTCATATATCCCCAGAAGAAAGGAACACAACACTCTAGGAGCCTAGACAGTGTTTTAAAGAACCAAAGATGTGTTTGAGAGGAGCAGTTGCATGGTCCCTGCTATGGATGATAAGATAAACAACTGAGGCTGAGTCATCTGAGGGTGGTGCATCCTTGCAGGGTGGGGGGCACTTTCATAATGGCTCTCTTATTTGTTATGGGGTGGCATACCTCATTGATGAACAGGGTTTACCTAGCATATGTAAGTTGTGGTTGGTTTTAGGTCAACTAGACACAAATCTAGAGTTATCTGGGAAAAGGAACTGCAGTTGAGAAAATGTCTCTTTCAAATTGCTGATAGGTAAGTCTGTAGGTCATTTTCTCGGGTAATAATTGATAAAAGAAGGGCCTAACTCACTGTGGGTGGTGCCCCTCTTGGGAAGGTGGTCCTAGGTTTTATGAGAGCCAGTAAGCAGCATTTCTCCATGGCCTCTGCTTCAGCTCCTGCCTCCAGGTTCCTGCCCTGACTTTCCTTGCTGAGTTGTGATATTAAACAAACCTCTTCCTCCCTGGGTTTGTTTTTGTTATGGTGTTTTATTACACCAATAGAAATCCTAACTAACACAGGAATGTTCCCCAAACAGCTGATAGATTAAAGAATACATTGCAGTCTTGGGTAGTAACACATACAGAACACGATAGTAAATCTGGTTGCTGCATAGCTTCTGTTGGGTGTGATAGGCTGAGCTGTTGTCCAGAAAGAACTTGCACATTTGAAGGAGGAATTACAGTAGGAAAAAGACATGTGAGTGCTATTCCCCACATTAGTATCTGATTGGCAAGAAAGGGGGAGAATGAGACGGAGAGGATGATTTACAGTTCTTACATCTGACAGACCAAAGGAAAAAAACAGTATAAACTAAATCTGCACTAAAGAGCCCTTCCTAGGACCCAACTTGGAATTCATGGAAGAATCAGAAAGAAAGGAGGTAGAAAAGACCTGAAGTCTGACGTTTAATACAGAAGGATGGGAAATCCAAGATTCAACATGTAGACTGCAGCCTAATAATGGCCAAGCAGAGCTGGGCAGTGATAGCACACACCTTTAATCCCTGCACTTATGCGGCAGAGACAGGCAGATCTCTGAGTTTGAGGCCAGCCTGGTCTAAAGAGTGAGTCCCAGGACAGCCATGGCTACACAGAGAAACCCAGGCTCAAGGAAGCAAAATGAACAAATTAATTAATTTATAATAGTGGCTGAGTAGATGAAACTAAGAGTATTAGAGCACACTCTGCTTTTGAACTTTTTGAATTGAGACTTTCAAAGAAGAAATGAAAGAGCCTTTTACAACCTGCTTGTGGGGCTGTGTGACATCAGGACGTGTGGAATCAATCTGAGTCCTGTGAAAGTGGAGAAACAGAAATATCCCTCCTTGAGGCAAAATCTGTATAATCTGAAGCCATATGAGGGAACTCAGTCCTTGATAGACTGGCTCAGATGAATCATTAGGGACAATTGATCGTCCTTGGCAGGAGTTAACCATGAACATCAGGGACTGAAAGGCAATAGAGGAAGGATAGACTGCTAAGGAAATTGAACATGAGAGAAGTCTTAGATGTCAGATTGGTCAGTATTCACAGAAGAGCTGAAAAATAATTCAACAAGGACCCCAGGATCTGCTTGGGACATTTTTCCAAGCTCATAATGGGACAAGGTCTTTTGAGGAAGTCCAGTCTGTGGAAGATTTGAGTCATTTAGACTCAAGTGTATGTTGGGCTCATGAAGTGCTAAAACATCCAGGACAGAATGAGGGAAAAAGGGGGTGTGGAAAGCAGTTAATGGGGCCTGTCTGAGTCACTTAAAAGCAAATGTGGCAGGATTGGTTTTAGCTGGATTTCCTAAGGGAAAACAGGGACAAGAAGCTAAATTCAGTGCTTATAAGCAGTAGGAAAATAAGTAAGCCAGTAAGGGTTGTCCAAGAGATACCAAACATTACAGGCCATTGCTGCTCCACTTAGTTTCCTCCCAGAGGTGGAAGGGAAGTATCTATTGTTGAGGACACCATACACTTCAGATGAAGGGCTCATAGGCCCCTGAGCTTCCTCAGGGAAGCTTCCTCTCTGAGGACTAGCTTTCATGGTACCAGAGGGCCCTGTGCCAGCTTCCAAAGGCAGGAAGGAAGCAACCACATCCCACCCAACTATGATGCCTATGAGCTATCATGCCAAGATGAGCATGGCATGATAACCCTAAGTGCACAGTAGTGGCATGCCTACCTTGGCGGTAACCAACAGATCTCTAATTGGACTTAAGACCTGTCTGGTGCCTGTATAGGCCAGAAGACAGCATCAGATTCCCTGGAACCAGAATGACAGGCTGTTGTAAGGGGCCATGTGAGTGTTGGGAATTGAGCCCTGATCCTTTGGTAGAACAGTCAGTAATCGTAACTGCTGAGCCTTCTTTCCAGACCCCATAACAGCCTTTAAAAAAACAGATTTGCACAGCATTTCATTGTATGTAATTCTGTTTCATTCTTTCAAAAATATATACATCTATTGGACAGGGAATACTTTTTGTGAAATTAACAATATTTAATGTGCTTAATCAGGTACAGATAATCAAAGTAGTTACTAATTTTTAAGCATTTAAAAACATACATTTTGCACATAAAGAAATATTTGATGAAAATTTAAAACTATGTATATACATCTGCGTGTGTGTGCATGGGGTCAAAGGATAACATGAAAGAGTTGGCTCTCTTCTTCTTCCATGTGGGTCCTTGGTATGGAACTCAGGTTATTAGGCTTGGCAGCAAGCATATTTACCTACTGAGCCACCTCTAAAGGCCCTTTAGAATAATCAAAAAGAATATTTTGTAGTGTATATTAAAACTATGTTAGTGCTTCAGAAACTGGGAAACATCTTCATAGTAGAGATGCACTTAAGGGACCTGTATTTCCTCCAGTCGCTAAGAACGCCTCAGTCAATGAGAATGAAACTACCAAGCCCAGAATTCCCTGCGCGCATAAGGCTCTCCTATGCCTCTCGCGGTGCCCTTTGGGACATGTAGTGCAAACTTCCGTGGTGCATGCTTCCCTGGGGCTGCGTTTCTTCCGCTCTGGGACACTGTTACAGAAAGATGTTTCACCCAGAAAGGCTGAACACCCCGGGACGCGACGGGTGAACCAGAAATTCCAGCCTCCTGTTGCTGCTGTCCGGCCTTGGATGATCCCTACCCTCTGAACTGTCGGGAGCAGCCCTGTCTGGTCCGTGGCGGGCGTGGGGGAAGGACTCGCAGGTTTGTCAGCGACTCTGTCTTCCGCAGCCTTCGTGGTTCTGTCCGGGACGCACCGTTTAGTTTTGCAGTCGCGGTTTCCTTGCGGGTTTGGGTTCTCCGCGGCGCAGACCGGGGCAAGTCTAGCCCATTGCTATCTGGGCAGGTGCAGGCCACGTTGGCCCAGGGACAGCTCGCCTGCCGGCCAGGTGCACGGGATACTTGTTCGTTGTGAACTGTGTGGGGCTGTGCTCCGCTCACGCCTGTTCACCGCACTTCCTACTGGGTCACACTTCCAAGGCCTCTCCTATTGTTAAATAGTTTACTCAAGGTCACCTTTTTGTAATCTTCGTAGATTGGCAATACAGGCAAATACCTTTAAAAAAAATCAAACAAACCAGTTTTCATTGTTTTTTTCTGCCACTTTTGTGGTCAGAATCGAAAAGAAACGTTTAAAAATTGGGTGCAGGAAGAAACCCCTTTTTCCTGGATGTTTCATTTTGGATCAAATCTTGGTTCAGACCAAGAACAAAGTCTGTAGTCCAAACAAAAAAGAAAAATCCTCATTACTTGAATTTTGTATTTGGGGGAGTAATTTGATATTAATGAGGTAAGAGTAGCCAAGTTGTTTTACAGATTCTATTGGAATGGATTTAGATCAGGATGTACATGAAACACGTGAGTGAAAACCAGTTTTTATGCCATCACATAATTCCTGACTTCTAGCTGCCAATGACTTCTCTTATCAAAGAAAAATTGTGCTAACAAAGGAAAAGAAACCTGTATTTTGGAGACCCATCCGTTATAAATATGTTCCGTCTAAGAGGCATCTCTCTCCTCTCTTGGAGAGCTTTTCAGTTACGCCATTTCAGTTGTGAGCCATTAGTTATTCAAATGCAGAACTGTACAGATGAAGAACAAATATTTGGTCTTATTGAAAGAAATACAGCCACGCTTTCAGAACATCAGGTGGGCTGTGCATTTGATGTACTCTGGCAGTTTCAGAAGCAGAAGACCAACTTGGGAAGAAATGTTGAGTGTGTCAGAAACCATCCCCAGTTTCTTACTCTTTGCAATGTAACAGCAAATCACCTGGAAACAATGAGTGATCACACCCTTGTGAATGTGCTATACATCATAAGACAGTAAGTTGCTTTTCAATTTATGAAAACAATTATATTTTAATTTTCTAAGAATATTTTTAAGTGTGAAAGCCATTCTTCCAGAAGACAGTTTATCTTATAATGTAATATTTTAAGGATATTTGAGGATTTTTTTGTTTTTGTTTTTGTTTTTTGTTTGTTTGTTTGTTTGGTTTTGGTTTTTCGAGACAGGATTTCTCTGTGTAGCTTTGGAGCCTATCCTGGCACTGGATCTGGAGACCAGGCTGGCCTCGAACTCAACAGCGATCCACCTGCCTCTGCCTCCCGAGTGATGGGATTAAAGGTGTGCACCACCACTGCCCGGCTGAAGAATATTTTTTGATACCAGTTAGTGGAATAGTTTGGAAAGTTAGGAAAGTAGAAATGACTAGCTTTCAGTATGTGGGACTGGTTGATTTGTGGAATGTTGGAGAGATTTGATTGACTAAAGGCAATGAAGATATAACAGGTAAGTAGGTTAAGTCAGATTAATGTCTGGTAAAATGCCAGTGGTTACTGAGTTCTATTTTTGTTGATCCATTTGTAGTCTTTTGGCTTTCATAGTTAAAAATTACTTTCCCTTGTTTTTATTGAGGTTTGCGGTTGAATCCCATCACCCACTAGTGGAAGCACTGGTTACAGAAGCATGGAAAAGATTGGAAAGGCAAGTACTCTGGGTTTGTCATATAAGATCAGGGTTATCTGTGGGCAGTTATCAAAATGAAATATAGGAAAAGAATGAAATTGCACAAAAAAATGTGCTGGGCCTGGGGATGAAGCTTAGTTGACAGAATGTGTGCTAGCATACACAAGGCCCAGGATTCCATCCCAGCACCAAATTAAACCAGCTGTGGTAATGCACTATAGAGATGGAGGCTTGTTTGTCTTAGGGTTTCTGTTGCTGTGAAGAGACACCATGACACTGGCAACTCTTACAAGGGAAAACATTTAATTGGGTTGATTTACAGTTCCAGAGATTTAGTCCATTATCATGGTAGACATGGCGGTGTGCAGGCAGACATGGTGCTGGAGAAAGAGGTGAGAGTTCTACATCTTGATCCACAGGCAACAGGAAGTAAAGTGTGTTCCACACTGAGGATAGCTTGAGCATAGGAAACCTCAAAGCCCACCCCCACAGTGACACACTTCCTCCAACAAAGCCCTACCTCCTAAAAGTGCCACGCCTTATGGGGGCCATTTTCTTGCAAACCACCCCAAGGCTGAGGATCAGAAAATCAAAAACATCCTCGGCTTCATAGCATGTTTGAGGCTAGCCTCGGATACGTGAAACCCTGTCTCAAAAAAAAAAAAGAAAAAAAGTTTTAAATTCAATTAGTTTGAGGACTTTTAATTGTGTAATATTGAATATTCTTTTTTTAATAAAGAAAGGGAAATATTTCAAGTGTCCCCTCTTTAACTCAGAGCAGGTTTCAGTATGTTTTTCCATGCACGTAGTAATCAAAATGTAACTGTGGTAGAGTGAAGATAGCGAACTAGTTGCTTTGACTCTTGAAGAATTCTGCTTTAGAAACAGAAGATTCTAATTGACTCCATAAAACAAAACAAACAAACTTAAATTTCAGGGCTGGAGAGATGGCCTGGCAGTTGATTCCTAGCACTCAAATGGCAGCTTACAGCCATCTCTCTGGAACTCCAGTTCCAGAGAGTCTCATCTGGCCTCCTCAGGCACAAGTACCACATGTGGTTACATGGCAGACACACACACAGACAAAACACCCATATATGTTAGATAACTATTAACAACAACAGTGCCGGGCATTGGTGGCGCAAGCCTTTAATCCCAACACTCAGGAGGCAGAGGCAGGCGGATCTCTGTGAGTTCAAGGCCAGCCTGGTCTACAGAGCTAGTTCCAGGACAGCCTCCAAAACAATACAGAGAAACCCTGTCTCAAAAAACCAAAAAAAAAAAAAAAAAAAAAACCAAACCAAAACAACAGCAACAAAACACCCCTAGATTGCAAGGGCTATAAAAAGAGAAAAAAGAAGATACTAGGTTGGTAGAGGGTTGTTGAGCATGCCTGACTTTCCTTCCTGCCACTCCCATTTGTGTGAGTAGGCAGTGACCACAGGTTATAGTCCACTTCAAAGCTTCCTAAAGAAAGTAGGCTTTACACCAATAACTGTTCCTGTTAGAGGACACCTTTCAGTCTTAACTTGCTTTGTGTTGCTGTCAATAAAGTTTGACTTCACTCAAAAGAAGGAAAGAACGGAAAGTAATCTTCAGGTCCACTGCTGTTGACAGTTGTTGCAAACATACTTTCTAAACTACACAGCTGTGTTTTCATGTGACTGAAACTAATCATCATCAAGAAGAATATAAACTCTGTAGACCAGGCTGGCCTAGAATGCCTCTAACTCCTGAGTGTTGGGATTAATGGTATGCACCTAGCTTGAAATTGCTTGTTTTTGTTTTTGTTTTGTTTTGTTTTTAGTGTTGAGCATCAAACCCAAACCTAGGGCCTGGCACATGCTGGGCATACAACCAACCACTGACTTGTTTCCCAGCCCTTGAAAAAACTTCATCTTGTATTACTATTGTATTAGCATCTTTGTTACTTATTATTTTATAACTGCATCATGTGTTCTAACTGATACTAATGATCTTGCTCAAATTTCTTTTTGTAGGTTTGATACTAATGTGCTGTCAATATTTTCCACCTGCCTGGCTGATCAGCATCTATATTTTAGTCCATTAATGGGAAAAATAGCTGATATTGTAAATAGGAACTTGGAAACCATACAGGATATGAGGTACATTTATTTGGGGCTTGTGGAGATACAAGGTTGCTGGACTTTGGGTGCAGATAGAGATCTGTCAGTCATTATAACTGCATCTCTAGTGAGTTTATCGTCCTCATTTGTACAACAGCAACAGCAAAAGCTACTTGGTATTGTTGAGATCTCTGAAGGGGTCTACTGAGTCTGCCTACCATGTCCCTAGCCATCTGTCACATTTTTGCATGTGGCCGCAGAAAACACAGGATTCCCAGGTCAGAGCCAGAGGACTGTTTCTCATGATGCTAGAAAAAAAGTAAAGTAAATGAAACAATTTATAGCATAAAGCAGTATTCTTGCCAGTTTCTTACCATATCTAGTCATTTAATTTAGAATTGGTCATTTTTATTAGGAATATAAAAACCCTTGTGTCTTTTTTTCTCCTTCAGGGCCCTGTCTGTCTTGATGGTCAGCATTTCTTCTTTAATATCACGCTGTTTCCAAGAGCGACTTGTGAACAAAGCAGAACTTCTCTTTGACACTGTGGATTCTTCCAAGGTCAACACTGCAAGAAGGATATTACTGTTCCTTCGCAATATCAAGTGTAGTTATTACCCACTACTAGAGAGGTGTAATAAAGTGCTCACAAGCAGTGTGAGCCATCTTGACTTGGAGTCCATCAGTAAAATCCTTAGTCTGTATCAGTCCCTGCAGTTCCATAGTTTTGAATTTATTGAAGTGTCTCGAAGGAGGCTAATGGAGATGATCCCTGGGTCATCTGGTTATCCCGAAAGCTTTGTCAGATTGTTTGCCACGTTGGGACCAGTGGCAGGACCTGAAATAAAAAAACAGTAAGCTTACTTTAAAATGCTTTAAAACTTTTCCTGTAGGATTCTTCATGCTTAGCTCTCCCTGGAACTCTGAAACTCATCAAAATCACCCATTCGTCTATGGAAGGGGAAATAATCTGTTAAACTCTATTTTTGATTCTTCTAACTTCATTTATGCTTCCAACTTTTAGACTACTGCTGTGTCCTACACAGAGGACCAGGCAGAAGATGAGGGGCCCCACCTAAGGCCCCTTCCTGAGTTTACACAGAGGTGTGATATTCCTGAGCCAGCAGAAGAGTGTGGGATATTTAGGTTGCAGTAGAGTAAATAGTGGGTCATTTTACACCATTATCTTCATCACATTCACCATCAAAATCCCCAAGTTACTTCTGGTCATGGTGTTTTATCACCAAAATAGAAACCCCCAACTAAGACAATGTTAACGATATATGTCTGTTACAAATATTTATTACAATTCCAGAACAAATAGTTCTGTTATTAAAAATGATTTTCCAAAAAAAAAAAAAAAAGATTGGCAGTAATTAAAAGTAAGAAAGCACACTCTTGTTTAGGTATAGTGGTGGCTGGCTGTGATTCCAGTCCTTGGGAGGAATATTGTGAGTTTAATGCCACTCTGTGTTACACAGAGAGTTCCAGGCTGGCCTGGGCTACAAAGTAGGACCCCATCTCAACCCTTTCCCCCAAAGCAAAAACAAAACACTTAGGTGCACAGTCACAGGTCCCCTACAGCTTGAGTCATTTTGGTCTGGTTCATCTCTTTTAAGAAGTTCTGTTTTCATAGGCTATTGATATAGATATACTGTTTGGAATATTTAGTTGGATCTTTTGTTGTGTTGTGAGTTGAACCTAGGGTCTTTCACATATTAGACAAGCACTCTTATCTATTTACTTTATTTGGAGACAATCTCACTGTTTCTCAGGCAAGTATTGGACACTTGCAATTTTGTTTCAGCCTCTCAAATAGCTGGATTATAAATCAGTGCCTGACATTTGGTTGTATATGATATATATATGAATATTTATGTTTTGGTTAGCTCTTACTCCATTTAAAACATTTATGTATTGCTAGGAGATAAGTAAATATTAAATTAATACATAAATATCATTCAATTCTCCCTAGACTATGAGGCTAGAGTTATGCAATGCATATGATCCTCCTACTTAGCATAAGTATATATAAGAATTATAGTATTCTTTTAAAAATGTTTATTTTTAATTATATATAAGTATACACACACACACACACACACACACACTCACACACAGGAGTGCAAATGCTGTAGAGTGTTGGAATCCTCAGAGCTGGAGTTACAGTGTCTGTGAACCACCTGAAATGGATATGCTGGGAACCAAACTCAGGTCTTCTGCAAGAAGAGTACACATGCTTACCTGCTGAGCCATTTCTTCAGCCCAGGAATTTAGCAATCTGTAGATGTGTGGTGAGCAGTTTTCCTTAAGCAGGGCTTCCAGCACCTCCATAGTAGAGATATCTGTAGATTTCTATTTGTTACCTCAAAACTATTAATTTAAACAAGTTGAAAGCCAGTTTTTAAACACTAAAAATATATATTTTTATTTCTAGGCTTGAATCAACTATACTACTGATGTCAGAGGAGCTGACTAGCCAGCAAGTACTGACAGTGTTGGGAGCAATGGAAGATATGGAAAGCAGAAATGCACACTTGATTAAAAAGTAGTCTTTCCTGAAATTCATGGTGCTAAGTTTAGTTGTCACTCCTAAGTATCTGTTTTTTTGTCTGACAGAAATACTTGTGTCTGATTGTTTTGAAGTAATAAGGAATGACTCCTGAAGGCACTGTTTATGTGCCTGAATGTTTGTGACTTCAGAACAGAGACAGAGTTGTTTTTCATAGGTTTTCATGTCCTTTCCTGCTGCTGTTAGACCGAAACAGAGCATCGTAGTGCATGCATCATATTGCGTGCATTACAGTGTGTGTATCACAGTGTGTGCATCACAGTGCGTGCATCACAGTGTGTCACAGTGTGTGCATCACAGTGCGTGTGTCACAGTGTGTGCATCATAGTGTGTGCATCACAGTGCATGCATCATAGCGCATGCATCACAGTGTGTGCATCATAGAACATGCATAGATACAGGGCTCTACTTTAGAAATGAGTCTCCAGAACAATTGGTTCCATATGGACTTGTCTCACTGTTACCTGTAATTTCCACCCAGTAGCTTATTGGTAATGTGAGATTTAAGAAGGAAAAAAAACATTCAAATTGCATATGCTTAATTTATTATTTATTCCTTTAGTTAAGGCTCCTCTGTCTCATTTCTCACCACAATTCCCTCCTCCTCTTCTTTCACTTGCTTTTAGTTTATCCCCCCAAGGGCCAGAAGATAATGGAAGAAAATGAGATTAGTGTTGCTAATTTCTAGTAACTCATGATAAAAATATTCTTGGCAGTAGGATGTGGAATTTGATGTCTACTCTGAGCTTTTCTTCTTTCTGTTTTCCCTTTTCGTAATTTGGGAAGTAAAGTTATGCCCTTTTTAAGAAAAAATATTCTGTAAAAATATGTTTATGAGTGTTTGACCTGCATGTGTGTATTTAGACCATGTGCATACATGGTGCTTGCAGAGTCCAGAAGAGGTTGGTTTCCCAAGAACTGGAATTACAGATCATTGTGAGCTGCCGTGTGGTTGCTGGGAACTAAACCCAGGTCCTCTGGAAGAGCAGCCAGTGCTTTTTTTTTTTTTTTTTTTTTTTAAAGACTTATTTATTTATTTGTCATGTATATAGTGTGTGCCAGAAGAGGGCACCAGATCACATTACAGATGGTTGTGAGCTACCATGTGGTTGCTGGGAATTGAACTCAGAACCTCTGGAAGAACAGTCAGTGCTCTTAACCCCTGAACCATCTCTCCAGCCCCAGGCAGTGCTCTTAACTGCTCCTAAAGCTATGCTTTTCTCCCCCTTTCAAATTCACACTTCATGATTGCTTTTCCTTTACTTTAGTTATCTTTCTGACATCTTGAGATAGTTCTGTAAGAACAGGAGATGTTTTTACTGATCCCCAACATAGATAGTGGAGTTTGTGGCCTGAAGTCTGTCTAGTGACTGTTTACTCTATAAGTGAATAACCTGGTTTTAATACATGTGTTTTGTTTTGTTTTTTTTAGAACTGCTTCAGTTCTGTATAAATATTTGGATAACTATAAATCGATAGAGCTACTGAAGGTAACACAAGCTCTGAGTTGTCTCCATTTCCAAAATAAAGAGTTTTTTGTGAAACTCAGAGAATTAATTCTCAGGTAAGATTTAGCATTTAAAGAATAAAATATTCAGTTAGTGTTTCATTTAAAAATCTATCCATATTTGCTTTATAGTGTATAAAATAGCTGGAATTTTCTAGACAAACCTGAATGGTTTATTGTTGGCGTTCTAAGATCTGTGCTAGGCCAGTGCTGTATTAGCACATGCCCCTCTTGTAATCCCAGTACCGCTAAACAACTAAACAAATATATACGGTTTTCCCTTTACATTAATAACGGAAAATTACCATATTTTCTCTGGATATGTAACATTGTGTTCTCAGTTTTCCATTGATTGGTTGAGTTAAAATGAGGTATTACTAAAAATGTTTACTAATAGCAAATGATCAATTCACCATGGCTAGCATGGAATATTATGATTATTTTATTTTCCAATCAGTGGGCTCTGTGTGTGTGTGTGTGTGTGTGTGTGTGTGTGTGTGTGTGTGTGTGTGTGCGTGCGCGCGCTCGCGCGTGCGCGCGCATGGGTGCACACACTCTTCATTTATTTTATATAGGAGCTTAGAACTCCAAAAACAACAAATAGTAAAATCACAGTAACTCAGTTTTGTATGTAATGTAGATTGAATCATTTCTTCCACACTTCTAAACCTAAAGGTGCCTTAAAGTGGCCAGTCCTTAATTTTTTGTTTCGGAATTACTGCTCTCATGGTGGGATGCTTATTGTGCAGATTTAGACAAGGGGGAGTAGAGAATGAGGTCAGATGTCTGTCTGTGGGCTTATGAGCATGTGTCTGTCTGCCGGTGTTGTAAGGCTGTATTTCCGGTACAAGTAACTAAGAAGGGAATTGGTATTCTTGAGGATCGCACTTGCCAGGGCCCATTCAAAGTCGCAGCAGCTCCTGATGGCCATGTAGACACTGAGCTCAGATTTTTTTTGCAGCAGCAGCAGCTGTAGCAGCAGCCACCCTTGGCACTCTTCTGATGCTGACCTTTTCATTCTCATTGATGTTGGTTTTCTTTTTGCATAAAGTGTGGAGCATGGTTATGTCACCTCAGCCTTTCCTTAGTGACCCCTAATGGCCTGTCCCCTGTGAATTAATCTAAATGAACTGGCTTTCTAAGATTACCTCACCTTTGATAACAGTAATTTGATTCACATATTTTGTGTTGTTTTTGTTGTTGTCGGTGTGTTGATTATATTCTTTTTGTTTTCTCCCTTTTCTTTTACATAACAGTCGTTTGGAAGCTAGCATCACACCAAGTGAGATTTGTATTCTGGTCTCTGCTCTTTCTATGCTTCCTTTTCCTCACTTCAATGAAACAGCTATATCCCGGATTGAAGCAGTTTTACCACAGTGTGACTCCAAGGAACTGAGTGATTTTGTATCATCTCTCATGAGGTGGATTCAGAATGATCACAAATGCTTGGCTAACACTACTAGGAAGCAACTGAATCTTCTTCAAAAATTAGACCATTGGGGCCATCATCGATTACAACAAAGCAACAGCTTGGATCTACTGTGGGAGGAGCTTAAATCTTTGAAAGGAGAATGGCTTCATGAATCATTTGTTGAAGAATCAGTTGCTGCTTTACAGCGCTTTGCGGATGAAATCGATTGCACCAATGTTGCCAAGATCGCATCTTTTCTTTCGAAAACTAACTACCTCAGCACTCTGCTGCTTGATAGGATAGCTTCGGTGGTTGTTCAACAGATTGAAAAGGTGACATTTAAATGTTAGATGTTACTTTTACACTGTTGTCAGCTTCCAGAAGCACATATATAGATTATAAATACTTTCCCAAGCTTAGATAAGAAGTTTGAAAGTGTGAAGTTTAAAAATTCAACTCTGGCTTCTGGTTCATGGGTTTGTTCTTATTCACTTTAAAGCCACTTTGAGGCAGGGTCTGATGGCATACTTATAATCTCAACATTTGGGAGGCTGAGGCAAGAGGACTGCCTAGAGTTTAAAGTCACAGTGGACACACAGATAAACCTTGTCTCAAACAGGAGAACAGCCACCTTGTTCCTGTTTCCATGGATCTGGTGAGATTAGTGATCACATCCTTTGACTCCTTCAGTACTTATGAGCCAGGGGAAGTTTGAGGTTTTTTTTTTTTTTTTTTTTTTTTTGAAACAAGGTTTCATTATGTAGCTCACCAGGCTGTTCACAAACTCACAGAAATCCCCCTGCCTCTATCTTCCAAGTGCTGGGATTAAAGCTTACACCACTATGCCCAGCTAAGATCAGAAGTCAGAACTTTTTAATTGGAAGGCAATATTTCAATGTTAGGTATATTTTCATGGTAGCAAATAACTGATTTTAAATTTTCTTTTTTCTCCTATAATCCTGGATTATCAATATTAAACAATTACAGGCTGGGCAAGATGGCTTAGCAAGTAAATGCACTTGTCTCCCAGCAATGCAAGTTTGATGGACCGGAGTCATTGCAGGATGAGGAAGTTAATGAGAGATACATTTGTAATTTCATTATAGGCATGTTAGAAAAACTTTACCTAAAATGGTAGATTAAAATTAATTTTGCTGAAGCCTATACTAAATTTTTGTTTTGTTTATACAGATCCATCCCTTTTCAATCCTTGCTATTACTCTTCCATTCAGCGTTTTGAACTATGATCCACCTCAAAGGGATGAGTTTTTTGGAGCCTGTGTCCAGTGCCTTAACTCTTACGTAGGTAGGTAAAGTGCTTGGCAATATAATGAATGAGTGGATTCTTGTATATAGGAGCTAAGACCTGTTACAATAACCTTCAATAATTGGGCATTAATAATAGCTGGAAATTCTGTACTACAATGTTTTAGGCTAGGTGTGCTTATGTATTTTTGTAATGCCAGCACTTGGTGAAGCAGGAAGGTTGCTTCTTTGAGACCAGCTTGTTCAAGGCTGCCTGGGATGGACATCTGTCTGCCTGCCTGTCTGTCCGTCCATCCACCCACCTACCTCCCTACCTATTATGTCTTGAAAGAACCTGTCTCAAGAGAAGTATTCAGTTCTCGGAAACTTTTTTAGTATGAAGATGTGAGACATGAAAGAATTGAACAAGGAACACCAATATAGCCTATATGTGAACTTGATAATGCTACTATTTTGTCATACTTGCTTTACCTCTTGCTCCCCCCCCCCCACTATTTCAAAGCATATTGTGCTGTATCACCCACTGAAGCATACACCTGCTGATACTGAGGAAACTCTTGTATCAGCACACACTGTTAGCACACTAAGAAACTTCAATAGTCCCTGAATACCTAACAGAGTCCGTGTTTAAAGTCTTCCTAATTGTACCCCAAATAACCACTCTCATGTTTACTTGTTGCTTTGGGTGGTTATCTGTTTCATCTCTCATGGTCTAGAGTATCACCCCCATATACTTTTAGCATAGTGTTTGTTGTCTTCTGGGGAGACACTTTTGATTTTTCCCTTTTTGTTACCAAGGTTTTCAAAAGTTTGTTAAAATTGGAGAAACAAATATCTGTGCAGTACATCCCCAGTCTAGCTTAACCCATAGCATTCACCTGCATATGACAAACCTTTGAATTATACACTCTGTCTGCTTCAACACTATGTTAGCACTATAACCAGGATAATGGACAAACAGTGCTATCTATTACTTAGACCATTATCAAATTTTCCCATTTGTTACCAATATTTTTGCTTCCCATACAGGGAGGTTATGTGTGCATGTGGGGTGTGTGTGTGTGTGTGTGTGTGTGTGTGTGTGTGTGTACATGTTCTAGTGTGTGAGTGGCAGAAGACAATCATCTCAGGTGACTTCCAGGTGCTTGACTTTCCTCTTGTGAGTGTGTTTTGTTTGTCACTGTGCATTCCTAGCTAGGTGACCATGAGCTTCCCAGTATGCTGTTATTCCGCCTCCCATTTCCCCAGCTTTACATGAATTCTGAGGATGCAAACTTAGGCTCTAAAACTTGCCTGGTGAGCTCTTTTCCCACTGAGACATCTGCCTCTTTTTTTTTTTTTTTCAAGACAGGGTTTCTCTGTGGCTTTGGATGCTGTTCTGGAACTAGCTCTTGTAGACCAGGCTGGTCTCGAACTCACAGAGATCCACCTGCCTCTGCCTCCCGAGTGCTGGGATTAAAGGCGTGTGCCACCAATGCCCCGAGTCTGCCTCATTTTTTGAGGCATGGTCAGAAGTGAACCTAGAGTTCACAGATGGGACTAGGTTGGTGGGCTGGGTGAGCTGCTGGGATCCTTCTGTCTTCTCCCCCAGCACAGGGTTACAGGTGCATACAGCTATGCCAACATTTTATGTGGATTCTGGAGATTTGAACTCAGGTCTTCATGCTTGTATAATAAGTACTTAACCCACTGAGCCATCTGCCTAACCCTGGCCTTGAAGTCTTGATCCTTTTGCTCAGCTTCCTTAGTGCTTGAATGATAAGCCTCTGAAATGTCTTCTAATATATTCAAAAAATGAAATTTGTTTACTTTTGTCACCTCCTTCCTATTTTTTTCCTGATTTTTTTTTTGAATAATGGAGATTGGCTGTATTATTGAAGATGTGTCACATTTCAGATTGTCTGGTTGTTTTGTTTTAGCTTGTTCTTCCATCTCCTATGTTTTTGTGTGCTAGTGGTGGCTGTATTACACATTGTCTGCAAAAGTACCTTGTTGTGGTATATACAATATATGATGGTTTGGACCCAATTTTTAACATTTTTTAAAAATTTTATGTGGATGAGTGTTTTGCCTACATTTGTGTCTATGCACCACTAACATGTCTGGTGCCCATGGAGGCCAGAAGAGGACATTAGATTCTCTGGAATTGATGTTGACAGGTAGTTGTGAGCTGTTATGTGGGTGCTGAAGTCAAACTGGGATCCTCTAGTACAGTGGTTCCCAGCCTTCTTCCCCCCCCCCCCCCCCAGACAAGATTTCTCTGTGTAGCTTTGGAGCCTATCCTGGCACTTGCTCTGTAGACCAGGCTGGCCTCGAACTCACAGAGATCCGCCTGCCTCTATCTCCCGAGTGCTGAGATTAAAGGCGTGCACCACCAACGGCTGGTTCCCATCCTTCTTAATGCTTTGACCCTTTCATACAAGTCTTCATGTTGTGGTGACCCCAACTATAAAGTTATTTTGTTGCCACTTTGTAACTGATTTTGCTATTATTATGAATTGTAATGTAAATGTGTTTTCCAGTGGTCTTAGGATACCTCTATGGAGGGTCATTTGACTCCAAGAGGTCATGACTCACAGGTTGAGAAACACTCATCTAGAAGAGCAGTCAGTACTCTTAACTGTTGAGTCATTGCTCCAGCTCCAGTTTTGGCCCATTTTAATAGTTGCTTTTTAATTTATTTAAAAATTTTACTTTATGTGTAAGGGTGTCTTGCCTGCATGTGTTGTCTGTGCACCATGTCTGTACCTGGTGTCCACAGAGGCCAGAAAAGAGTTTCAGATCCATTAGGATTGGAGTTACAGATGATTATGAACTGCCACTGTGGTTGCTGGGAATCAAACTTGGGTCACCCAGAAGAGCAGCCAGTGCTCTTACCAGCCAAGCCAGATCTCCAGCCCCTGATGGCTTACTATTTTAAATTAAACTTTTCTGCTTTTGTTTTTTTTTTGTTGTTTTTGTTTTGTTTTGTTTTGTTTTTCGAGACAGGGTTTCTCTGTGTAGCCCTGGCTGTCCTGGAACTCACTCTGTAGACCAGGCTGTTCTCAAACCCACAGAGACCCGCCTGCCTCTGCCTCCCAGTGCTGGGATTAAAGGCATGTGCCACCAATGCCCGGCCTGTTTTTGTTTTGTTTTTTTGCCAATGAATTTGAAAATTCTTGGAGAGTCTTTCTTTTAAGGAAAATGTAAAGTAGCTAACAGAGCTGGACCTGGTGGCACAAAAGTGAAATGCCAACTATCCTGGAGGCAGAGGCAGGAGGATGGCAAGTTCAAGGCTTGTCAGGACTACAGAATGAGTTCAAGACTAGACGGGGAAATGTACATGGTAAACTGTCTCAAAAAGAAATTAATTAACAATATTAAACTAAATTAAAAATAAAGTAAAAGAATGGGCTGAGGGCTTTGCTCACTGGAAAAGCACTTGCCCAGCATAAATAAATAAATAAGCACAATGGAGTGATAATTTTTCTCCTTTTGAATGAAAAGTAGTTTTTATTAAAAACAATTTTATTTTAGACTTATTTATTTTGTGGTGGGCCCACATGCCACAGTTTCATATGTGTGTGTGTGTGTGTGTTTGTGTGTGTGTGTGTGTGTGTGTGTGTGTGTTTGATACAGAGTCTCATGTAGTACAGGATGGCCTCAGACTTGGTATGTAGCATGTATCTGACATTAGCCTTGAACTCCTGACCCTCTTGTTTTCTCCTTCCAAGTGCTGAGATTACAACTACTGTACCTAGGTATTTGCCTCTCTCATGATTTGATCTTCTTTTAAAAAATAAATTCAGGGCTCTCTTTTCCCACCTATGCTTTCTCTGCCCCTCTTCTTTTACGGTCTTCTGTACCTCTCTCTCTCTCTTACTCTGCCCTACTCTGTTCTTCCATTTCTCACTCTCCTATCGTAATAAACTCTATGATTAATATACTCTTAATAAATAAATAAATTCAGCAAAGAAATCCAAAAGGAAAAGATTTTTGCTTAGTTTGTTTTAGAGACAGGGTCTCACATTAGTCCAAGCAGACCTGCCACTCTAATGTAGCCACGGTGCTCCCAAATTTATGCAGTCTTCCTGCCTCAGCCCCTCAAGGGCTGGGATTATAGCTCTGTGCTACCACACCTGTAAAAGTTTTGAGTTCTGTCTTTTCTGTTATTCCTAAGAATTCTCCTGCCAGTGGGTCATGGTAGTTTGTCCCTTCCCCTGCATAAGAAATGTCTCTTAAATGAGGCAAATCAGGTGAAGAACTTTCAAGCATAGCCCCCATGCTATGATCTAGGTAGCAGTAAATGAGGGCAGGTGAGCTCTGAGGATCAAGCCTGTTGTTTAGCCTGGTCTGGAGACCCCCAGGAAGCAGCATGGGTGCTGGCACTGCACCTTTCCGGTTAAACCCCATCTTACAGTTAGATGCTAACTCTGTGGCCTTGGATAAGTTGTTTCTTTCCTCATTACCTTACTACCCTATGCTTTTTTGTAAGGTGGAGCTAGGACCTGGTCCTACCGTAGACAGAGATGAGGTTAAATGAGTGAATATATATGAAGTGTTTAGCCCAGGACTCAGTCCATTCTGAGAAAGACTCTATTATTATCTCCAGAGACTGAGTGAGATTCCTTTTACAGATCATTGTCCTTGTGTGTTGAATTCTTTCCCTTTTCAAGGCAGTTTTCAAAACCTTTACAGTATAATAAATATAATATTCACAGTATAAGAGTACACAAATAGAATTGCCAAGGGAAAGTATTGAGATATCAAGAAACACAGTATTGCTTCAGTACTCCCCACACATTCTATTTTATTTTGCTTTTTAAATTTTATTTATTTTTTATAGACAGGGTTTCTCTGTGTGTAGCCTTGGCTGTCCTGGAACTCACTCTGTAGATCAGACTGGCCTCAAACTCACAGATGTCTGCCTGCCTCTGCCTCCAGAGTGCTGGGACTAAAGGCGTGTGCTGCCACTGCCTGGATTGCTTTATTTTTTGAGAAAGGGTCTCATAGGGTAGCCCTGGCTGGTCCAGAACTCAATATATAACCAAGCTAGCCTCAAACAGAGATCCACCTGGCTCTGCCTCCCGAATTCAGGGATCAAAGGTATATGCTATCATGCTGGGTCAACAGTACTTTTCTCTTGTCCATCTTTCTTACTCTGAACCTGACCCAGAATTACTGTTTACATGTAAATAATATAAATTTTGTGAGTGCTGTGTTGGTATGATTTCTTTTAAAAAATTATTTTTATTTTATGTACATTGGTGTTTTGCCTATGTCTATGTCTGTATGAGGGTGTTGGGTCCCCTGGAACTAGAGTTACAGATAGTTGTGAGCTGCCATGTGGTTGCTGGAAATTGAACCCAGGTCCTCTGGAAGAGGAATCAGTGCTCTTAAGTGCTGAGCCATCTCTCTAGTCCCTTTCTTTTTTATCTTTATCTTTATCTGAACAGCTTATCTATATGTATATGTGAAACAGCTATACATTATAATTTTTAAACTTATTTTTTAGGTACATTGGATCCTATTACATTAGTGTTTCTTGGTTTTTCTTTGGCCACACTTGAATATTTTCCAGAAGATCTGCTAAAGAAAATATTTAACATCCAGTTCTTAGCCAGATTAGATTCTCAACTTGCAAGTATGTATTTGCATTTTACTTTTAGAATTTATTAAATGTGCTAAATATGCAAGTGTTATTTGTGCCCATACTGAAGCATTTAAAGGCTAATAACATTATTTCCTGTTGATAAAAGAATTTTATGATTGATTGGGGGGTAGTTTAATGGTAAAATGCTTGCTTAGCATTTGTTAAACCCTGGGTTTCATTTCTAGGACTGGGAAGGTGGGGATGTGTATATACACATGTATATGAATATATTTGCAAATATAATATATAATATATAATAGGTAAATAATACACACACACACACACACACACACACACACACACACACACACACACACACCAT